TTAACTACAAACAATCTGACAAACAATCAGTTTCATTTTATTAAGTCATATTTTTGTTCCGCCAATTTTCTCTTTTTCTTTTGTTTAAAGTAACTGGCTAGGATACCAATAACCTTTCAGTGATGCTGTTGTATACGGATCGTGGTTTGAGTCGGCGGCAGGTCGCGAAAGAATTTAAGTTGAGGCCTCGTTGGCAGAAGATTTCTTTGCCTGGCATAATTAATGGTTGTGGCAGTGGCGAAAGGTATTACAAATAACCCATGAAACCCTCGCAATAGCAACAACCATGTAGCAATGCTAAAAGGCATTAAATATATTTAGGTGGGGCTAGGGGGCAATTACCCTATACTTTAATTTGTTGGAAATAAATCAGGCTGTCGGAGGTTATATGTATCCACGCTATTAAACATTAGTACACCACTTTGCATGTTTTATCATGAATCTAAATTTCAAAATGTATATTGGCCCAGCCGCCCAGATCATGTACCTGTACGTAGTGCGTGCATATGTTAGCCAGTAAGTTCTACAGGATTCAGTGATTGGTTGTCTTTGATTGAAGTTTGTTTTTTCTTTTTCAAATTTAAATATGCAAACCTCAGAGTGTGCGAAATCACCGCCGAAATGTATATAAAATTACCAAATATCTTTGAAATGTAAAAGTTTTGGAATATTTACAGTAATAACATTTAACTAGCATCAAATAGTAATATTCAAATCATGCCTCACCGATTTGGGTCCATAAATGTTAACCTTCCTAAACATACAATATCTCACAGTTTCAGTCTGTCGAATTTGCGAAGGGTCTTGCCCTTCGCCTAATTGTGAAATGTCAACCATTGGTAACAAGCGTTACATGTATACCAAAGAAAGTAGAATACTTCAACGTTATTTTAATCGCATTTTTTGCAGTAATATTCGTAGCATTTATTATCCATCCAAACTTCACTAATTCATCATACAGTCAAATCGCCACCTATGATTACAAGCACTTATTATATTGTGTTACATCCGAACATCATTACTTCGTTAAATGTAGGTTGTCTATAGGAGTTTCAGCAATATTACTACTATCTTTTGCCCTGTTTAGTTGACTTAAAAACAAGAAACAAATTTCAACCCTATTCACTTTTACCAGTAATTTAATAGTCGTGAATTATTACCCAATCTTGGAGCGTCGATGGTTGTGCCTCAATATCTTCCACTTCCTTTGCAACTAAAACTTCTTTTATCTCCTTCGGAGATTCTTTTTGAACTTCTTCAAGGCCTTCCTTAGTCGAAGTTATTGGAGTGCTCTCTCCGATTTTGATGGATTTAAGCTCCGTGTCACTAATAGTGGAAAAGAACACATCATGTCGTGGTCGTCTGTGAGGCTTAGGAGTTCCTTCTTCACTGTCAGAGCTTCGATAGGGGGAGGAGGGCGAAGAAGCCATCTTGAGCACCAGATGAAGCTGTGTTTTCATTAAGACCAAGAGTTATAGAGCAATAACAACGTTTGTAACAAAGCCGATTCTTTATGTTTCTTCTTATAATAAATTATATTAACTACATTTTGTTAGGTCTGCGCATATAATATTTACGGTTCTACAAAAATAAGAACTTTTCATTAATTTGTAAGGATCTACCTAATGGATTAAATCAACTTTTATATTTGTAGTTCTGCGAAGCGAAGAAAATTTCATTCTGTGTTTGTAGTTCTACTTGGTGGATTAACTTACATTCTTAGCAAATGAAGTCTGGTTATTACACTTTCAAAGGAGCTGAAATTAAATCTATGTTTTCATAATTATATTATATGAAATTGAATCGGTTCTGTAGTCTGTTTGTAATAATTTCAGTGGGTAATGTGCCTTACCTTTTCGCTGATTATATATTAAGGTGGAGAAAAAAGTAGAGATTTAAAGATCTCAGATTGCAGTATCTCAGAAATCCCAAGTTACTGAAACATTTTAATCTGGAACTTGGAAGACCTCGTGGTTTGGATGAAAGATCTGGTCACAATCATATAAATATCCCTGTACATTCACCTAAAGTGCACCAGACACTGCAGAGAAAATACTTATCCAAGTTTCGGGGCCGCATGAGCCTGTCTACTGCAAAGATCGATAGAAGAAGCTAAATATGTTCTACACACGCTATCTTGCATTCTACTGATCGTTGTCAGGGCAACATGTCATTGTTATTTCTTATTGTATGTGTGCGCCATCTAGAATGATGATTCATTAACCTTTGCAAAATAACTGTTAATAGGAATCGCTGTATTATAATATCAAGACTTGTATGTATTTCTTTTTTGTTGTTGTTGTTTACTTGCTCCTTTTTTTTGCAGTCTATAAATTTGTTTTGCCCTCTCAAGCATTGTACTTACTATACTCAAAAGTTCACTGTTTCATTTTCTAATGTTTCGAGGTGTCATGGTATAAAAGACTGTATGGTTTAAATATGAGTGATTAATTTATTTTTGTTAGTGAATATTTTATTGTTTTTTAAGTTTTGTTACAATAAGAGTTAAAAGCAGACGATTGCAGAAGGTTTTGTTAATAACAAATTGGTGTCGAGAATATATAAAGTGGCCAGACGACTATGTAATAAAGATATTGTTACGTATCTGCTGTTTGTTAATTTCCGTTTTTTTTCTTTCCGAGGAAC